AAAAAAAAAAAAAAAAGGTCTGTGTATTAATATAGTTAGTTCTCATTACTTGAGGTACTTATATTCTGTTTGTTGAATTAGCAGCTACTGAAGCATTTTTCCTAAGAAAAATATGAAATAAAGTCCAGGCACTGTGGCTCACTGAGGTAGTGGATTGCTTGAGGCCAGGAGTTTGAGACCAGCTTGAGCAAGAGTGAGATTCTGTTTCTATAGAAAATAGACAAATTAGCTTGGTGGAGTGGCGTATGCCTCTAGTCCCAAGTACTCAGGAGACTGAAGCAGGAAAGTTGCTTGAACCCAGGACTTTGAAGTTGTAGTGAGTCTGATGTTGACACGGTACTCCAGTCCAGACAACAGAGAAAAGACCCTGCCTCAAAAGTGAAAGAAAAATACGGGATTAAGTTTAAGTTTCTGCAAGCTTCTGCTCATAACATTTTTGTCAACTCATTAGTACCTAACCTTGTTCTATGTTTGTTTCTGTTTAAAGGCACCTTATTTTAATATGTAGTCCTGTGTTGTTGAACAATTGGGATATATTCTAAGAAATGCATACATCATAGAGCATACTTAACGCAAACCTGTTGCATAGCCTATACACATCTAAGCTCTACAGAATAGCCTATTGCTCTTAGGCTGCAAACATGTGCAGCATGCTACTATACTACAGGGTGTAGATAGTTTGTAACAATGGTAATTATTGTGTATCCAAACACAGAAAAAATATAGCTATGAAGGATTTTAAAAGGGTATACTTTTATAGGCTACTCATGAATGGAGCTTCCAGGACTGGAAGTTGCCCTGGGTTAGTGAATGACTGGGGAGTGAATGTGAAGATCGAGGACATTACTGAACACTACCACAGACTTTATAAATAATGTATGCTTAAGCTACACTAAATTGATAAAATAGTATTTTTTCTTTCTTAAAAAAATAAATTGAGCTTAGGTTACTGTAGCTTTTTTGCTTTATAAACTTGTAATATTTTCAGTAACACATGTAATAACACATAGTACAGCTGTATAAAAATTTCTTATATCCCTATTCTAAAAGTTTTTTTCTGTTTTTGAATTTTTTTTTACTTTTAAAATTTTTTTGTTGAAAACCAAGACACATGCACATACATTAGCCAGTGCCCACATAGACGCAGGATCATCAGTATCATGGTCTTCCACCTCCAATGTTGTGGTCCTACTGGAAAGTCTTCAAAGGCAGTAACATGCATGGAGCTGTCATCTCCTGTAATAAAACAATGCTGCCTTTTGGAGAACTTGTTTCAGACTGTTTCACGGTTAACTTTTTTTGTAAATGGAAGGAGTACACTCTAACAATAAAAAAATATACAAAAGCTTGGCTCAGCGCCTGTGGCTCAAGTGGCTCAGGCGCCAGCCACATACACCTAAGGTGGTGGGTTTGAATTCAGCCTGGGCCCGCCAAACAACAATGATGGCTGCAACCAAAAAATAGCCAGGCGTTGTGGCGGGCAGCTGTGGTCCCAGCTACTTGGGAGGCAGAGGCAGGAGACTTGCTTGAGCCCAGGAGTTGGAGGTTGCTGTGAGATGCTATGGCACTCTACTCAGGGGGCTTTTTTTGAGGCTCTGTCTAAAAAAAAAAAAAAAAAGCTAGTAACATAGTTGTTTATTATCATTAGCAGGTACTGCGTATGGTACATGATCGTATGTGCTAGACTTTTATATGCCTTGACAGCTCAGTAGTAGCATCACCACAAGCACATGAGGAATGCATTGTGCTGCAACATTAGGACTAGGCAACTGGAAGTTTTTAGCGCCATTATAATCTCTTTTGGGGGGCTCCATTATAATCTCTTAGGACTAGATTGTGTATACAGTCTGTTCTTGACCAAAAAGTGGATAGTGGCACATGACAGAATATTATTGATTCATTAATATCAAACTCATCCAACAACACTACACATGTATGATTCATGCACTACCCTTTTGAAAAATGAACTGGTTCTTCTGGGTTCATTTACATAGACCCTTACCTATACTGGTTAATAAAGGTAAGTGAATGAGGATTACAGCCCACCTTTGTATGTATGAAATCTTGCCCTAATTTTTTTTTAGCTATAACTGTTTTTGTTTTCTTTCTTTCTTTCTTTCTTTCT